AAAGGTGGTATTATTCAGTGTTTGCTACAATTACACATATAGAACCACCTGATTCTGAGTGGGAAGGCTTTGGTATTTCTTCTATTTAATAAGTACGTCTTGGTGGTAGAGTTTTAAGTTTTTATTGAAAACAGCATACTAAAGTTTTGTGCTTCTTTTTAAGTGCACTTTAGTAATTACAATTTTCCACATATTTGTATAATCTATATTAAAACTGTTAACATAACTTTGAATTATATTTTAAAATTTGAATGTGCTCTGCCTACTTTACCAACCCTAAAAATTCTAACAGTTTCCTATTAGTATTTTTAAAGAGGTGGATTTCATATTCCTTAATCCTCTATTCTTCTTTTAAATGATCATTAATTTTTCTTTTCTACTCCAATTACAACTCAACGGATGACGACAACAACAACAACAACAACGAAAGAGCTCAATTGGCCTACTGGAAAGAAAGTGATGCTACCAAGCCTTCAGATCTGATTTTAATTGTTTTTGGTCACACATTCTTCAAAGTGGTATAGCACTGGTCTGTCCATTAGCTGTATAGAGGTAACTTATAGTTGCTGTAAAGTTGACCAACATGACACTGATGTATCAAATGCAATAATGGGTACCCATGGTGGACAGTGTTTGGTGGAGCTCCCCAATTAAAACAAGCTGGGAAGCAGGAGTGGCATCCACTTCCAAAACAGCTTGCCTCCGGAAACCCTATGAACTTGGAGAAACTATGAAAGTGTTCAGGTCTTTTTTTCCCCATAGAGTTGCTAATTACATGTTCAGTTTCTTTGCTATCTTCTATTGTGTCTTAAAATTTTTTACACATTTCAACTATACTAGGTCTTAAATCAATGCACTGTCTTTAGCTATATCCAATGTGTCGCTCAATTATCTGCTAATTTTAAGAAGTTCTATTTGTTTTTGCGAAACTTATCTATCTGGTCAATCCTTACAGTGTCTTGCCCCATTGTTTTTCTTTCCAAACTTTCATTTTTAAAGTATGGTTATTTTATATATTCTCCTTTTGATTATTGCAATATCTAAAGTGTTTGTGGGTCTAACTGCACTGCTCACAATGTTTGCAGTATTTAACTTGTGGTGAATAGTTTCTGTCTGTGCTTTAGAATTCTGAAGATGACATGATCGGGCTTTTTTTAGGAATTCATCTATGGAAAGTCTTCAAAATAATCTGGACTAACACGGAATCATTTCAGAAAACATCCACGCCTGCAGTTACTTCTGTCCTGTGGCCACCAGCCATCACATACACATTTTAAATCAGCTTAGCTACTGGGGATTTCCAGAATATAAATTAGAATTGAAAGCCTATATATGAAAACCAACTTGTTGAAAATTTTAAAGGGAAATTATTTCAC